TATATTTATATATATATATATATATATGTCTTTTTCTTTTATATATATATTTATATTATATATGTATATATATATTTTCTTTTTATATATATATATATATATTTTCCCCACATATATATATATATATATATATTTCTTTTAGAAATATATATTTATATATATATATATATATATATATATTTCTTTTATATATATACATATATATATTTCTTTTATATATATATATTATATTTCTTTTATATATATATATATATATATATTCCCCCATATATATACACATATTTCCCACATATATATATTTATATATATATATATATTTCTTTTATAAACACATATTTTTTTCATTTTATATTTCTTTTATATATATATATATATATATATTTTTTATATATATATATATATTTATTTTTATATATATATATATATATATTTATTTTATATATATATATATATATTTTTATATATATATATATATATATATATATATATATATTTCTTTTATATATATATATAGATATATATTTCTTTTATATATATATATATATATATTTTTATATATATATATATATTTATTTTTTTATATATATATATATATATTTATTTATATATATATATATATATATATATATTTATATATATATATATATATATATATATATATATAGATTTTTTTTATATATATATATATATATATATTTCTTTTATATATATATATATATATATATATATATATATATTTCTTTTAAATATTAACTCTGGTTTTCTTTGAGCTCTCAGGTTTTTCATCATTCTTGGGATTACCCATACAGATTACCAAGTTCTTCATAACTTAATTATATATATATATAGAGAGAGATATAGATATATAGATGGATAGAAAGATAGAGAGATATTATATTCTCTGTATATATATATATATATATATATATATATATATATATATATATATATATATATATATATTATACTGTGTATATATATATATATATATATATATATATATATATATATATATCAAATTAGGTTATATTTATGGGATAGAAAGTATGTAAATATATATTATTGTACTGGACTAATTAAAAACAATAAATCAGGTATAAATAAAATGACAAATTAGAAATATTTATTCTTTAGTGTATATATATATATATATATATATATATATTACAGTAGGTTTTACCCTCGATATGTCAACTTGAGGCAGTAGGTTGCGTTAAGTAGTAGTGTATAGGGATAGGAGAGGAACATAACGGTTAAATCTAGACTTGAACAAGTTAAGATATAAGACTGCAGTGATCTGAGAAAGATCCTCTTGGATATCTGTTCCACAAAGCAGTTGTTTTTGGGAATTAAGCTGTTCAAATGGAACTTAGTTTTCACCAATGGAGCGAGGGCTGGGCGTGTATCTGTGGACTGATGGATATACTATTCAGTATAATCAGGAACAAATATATTTCATAGTAAAATCAATCAAATATTGAACGCCACAAATCATATTCCTTATAGTTACTGTACCTGGGACTTTCCTTTTTCAACATTTAATGTACCTGGGACTTTCCTTTTTCAACATTTAATGTATATACAACTGACATTTGTATACACTGTTTCTGTTTTCCTGTGCAGGGAAAGGTGAGAAAATTATGAATAACTCTACTTTCGATATGCACGATATTTATTTTCCTATTTTAGTTTTTTTCATAATTAAACCTGGCGCAAGGGACACAAGAAATATCAGAAAGTCATACGGGAGTCACAAACATCTGATATGGCTGACTATAAGTAAAGAGAGAAAAGTTGGCATTATTCCGTTGAATAGAAACCTACAAATAAATAGGAAATTTCGATGGAATTTAGGTAAACTGACATAAGAAATATACATTAAGTTGAAGTAAAGATACATGTAACAAGATAAGTGTAGACCTGTTTTATTTTTTATTTTTTTGCTCTCAAGAGAAACTTGAGTCTATCAACTCCGAATAAATATAGAATCAACATTAGATGGTTTTCTGAATGTGATACCATTTGAATGGATCGCGTTGATGATAAAGTACCAATGTGGTCGATATAATAGCCAACATTATTGGCTTTTTTTTTTTCAAAAATTAATGGACTCTTCTCTTTCCTTGGGAATTGTACACCTGACGAAGTTTAGCTAATGGATCATCCAAAATGCTGTGTTCATACAGGCAATAAATGCAGTAGTGTGAATATTTTACAGAGTACGCGTGCATTAATAGTAACTGGTAGACCCTTTGTAAATTACCGGATTTACAATGTTTTTGTAATGCTGCAGTCTTTAATTTTCAATCCATGACCATTCCCAGATATAAGAAAAGAGACACGTGTGTGTAGCATCTGTCGGTCTCAGGAAACCTTGGATTTGCGCCCCAAAAGTAATGCCTCAGTTACTGATGTCGGTGCAGCATCTGTTATGGCTGTATAGGCCCACAACGGTAAAGTAAATCTAAACCAATGGGGAAGTTATGTGCCGAGGGTAGAGGGAACAGATGGAAAAGGATTTAACTCAAACAAGAAAGATAAAGGACCTAATTTTTTTATTGAAGTTTAAGGGAGTCAACTCCAAGTATGTATAAATTCAAAAAACTTCCCAAACGCTAAAAAGGTCCTAGCTGTGGTTCGATCGGAAAAAGGATCCCAACAAATACTGGCTATATTACAGGAAGTGAATGAGATTTTAGTTTTCAATCAAGCAAGGAAACAGAAGTGGGTTCCCTTGTTAGAAAGTGCAAGAAAAGAAACTATTGGTATAGAAGTGGCGGTTGCATTTAACTATTTCAAAAGTAAAAAGGTGGCACCTAGATGTTAATCTAGTACCATGCTTAAATTCATGTAGTTTCAGTGAAAAAACTAGTCTGAGCAGTTGTCATTAAAATATTTGTAGAAAAAACAGAGAGAAGCCACATCACAACTGTGAGAAAGTGACTGATGTCAAATTGTCAAGTCAGGATCGATTACATTGCAGATCCTTCTTTGGATTTTGTTAAGAACCTTGAGATGAATAGCAGAAGCACCAGATCAGATATGGCAACAGAATTAAATGCAAGGCCGAATGGTAAATTTGTAGATGTGCAAGATGGACTTTGATGCGAAAAACCTTCTTGCACAACACAATGAATCAAAATTCCTCTGAATAGATGCAGCTATTGATTCGATCTAGTTGCTCCAATTCAAGTCAGTTGAAAATGAGAGCAGTTTAGTTTTGGAGGCATTAAAATTTACAAGACATTTCCTACTCCAGTTAACCAATGATTAGAGGTTCTTTTCTAAAGCAGCGGCCACGTTAATAAGTTTCGTATATCTACTCAATTCTCCTTTACCGACTCTTCGTGCTTCCACTCCTGTATGCCATACAAATGCAATTTGTTACGGTCTTGTTCTCCTTTTTGTGGAGAGACAAGGCACACAAGGTATGTCGGAAGATCTGTTACCTCCACCATTCTGAATGCTGTCTGGGTATGCCTAGCGTCGAAATTTGTCAATATACGCTTCGCATCGCGTTCCTACATCGTTAGCACTCATGCTCCTCTTACGGGTGACGGATGCCCTCTCCGACGTCCAGGCGTTGTCCCGTAACACATTATAGGTGTCAGTGAAGGCATCTGGTCAGATCATCTGATTGGCGAGCTCAGTTTAACAAATGCAGGAATCTCGCTCCATATGGCCTTGGTAGGTACGGTTGAATCCCTCACTAACGATAAGGTACCACTCACCTGGCTGGTGATGCGAAAGTCCTTCTGGGATGGCAATAAACTTTCTTCAGCGGGCTTGGAAAATTATCCCAACTATGTCCGCTGCGGTGAGTCTGTGGAGAGCTTGCGTCACGCCTTCTAACTCGAGGTTGTAAACCTGTTGTGTAAGTTTATTGAAGATATCATGGTGCGTAGAATGTTCTTTGATCTTGAGGCCAGTTCTGTTTGTAGAAATATGATAACATTGTTGACTAAAGCTAAGTAATATGTTCTTGTGCTTACTAGATGTTATGCGAGTCGTGATATGGACGACGCGACAGAAGGAATTCTATGGCGACGATAAATTTGCCTCTTCCCAACTGATCTCGTTCTTTAAGTATCAGCCTAAAGTTAAAATCAGGACAGAAAGTCAACGACTTCCTCCATCAGAATTTGGGAAAAGATGGTTTTGCGCGTATCCTTCGATTGAACGGAGCCGATTTTGAGAGCATTTTCATGCAGTTAAGCATCAGGATATTCGGAGTTCTGTATTAAACATTGATAAACCCCGCCCAGAATAAGCTAGTTTGGTTTACTTTTTAGTTTTTTACGCTTTTTTAACATAGCTAGGGGATATATGCTCATTGCTTCCTTTTATTCTTGTCCCCACTTACTTTCGATTAATTCCCCATCCTCTCCCTCGTTAGGTGACAAGAAATGTGAGTTCTCTGGTGGATGTGGCACATGTTTAGTTTTTCGAGTGTGTTCTTTCGTAATTTATGTCGTGTCTGAATGAGTGTGTGGTTGTAAATGTGGTTGATTGAATGATTTATCTAAGTCCCATATTAGTTTCGTTCATTTAACTGATAGTTATGCCATAGAAAGCGGGGCGGGGGTACGACTACATTTTGTTTAGTTTCTGGTATATATTTAGTAGTATGCATATTGTAAATATTCATTGTTTTTTTTTTTTCAATATGATAACTAGTTAAGAATTCATAGAGACTTTTAGGTATTATGGTCGTTGTAGTAAGAATGTTAAGTAAGAATGTGATATTTTGATGTAAGGAATATTGTATAGTTCGTTTGTATTGGTGATTGTGGCATGCTAAGTTTAAGATAATACAGATGATGCCAAATTCTCTCCACCTTCACTTTTGTCCTTGGCCACAACTTTTTGTATTTATCCAAAAATAAATATCATTAGTCAAATAAAGATTCATAAGCTTCTACTTAGAGTTGTTACTATATTGCAATAACCAAAACTATAAATAACATTTGATTCTTAATAATTATTTTTATTTTTTTCAGATTCGTTGTTGTGTCCCTGGGCTGAGAAATTTCTTTGCCGGAAAAGCCAACGTTGTATTCAAAAAGAATTTCTCTGTGACGGTTTCAATGACTGTAAGAATACAAAAGTTGGATCAGACGAGTTTTTCTGCTGTAAGATGATGCTTTGCTAATACCCGACATAATTAAGAACACGCATAAACATAATCAGATTGCACAGTTTACAAAACACAGTGTTATAATTGCAAATATTTCAAAATGAACTCTTTAGCCACTTCTCCGATGTAGATATGTCTATAGACACGGACAAATAAATACGTCCAAAAATTAACCTTCAAAAACCTGCTGCGGTGTTTATACGTCGATCTTGATTCTTTTTTATGTCCTTTTAAGGTTGAAACGAGTCCAGTTGCCAACTCATACGTCTGGTAGAAGTGATAGCCTCCGCTCGGGTAATTCAAGGTGACCCAGTTTCTTAGTTACTATATTAAAAAGAAAGAAATAATCCATCTGAAAATGAAACGTTTTCTTCAAATCAAATGGCGGGAAAAGGGGGTAAAAAACCGCGAAAATTAATATTGAACTGTTTAAAGAAATGCATTCTCCTATTCCTTTGCTTATAACGTAATGCTGTGTTTTGCTTGCACGTAGCATGCGACCACATGACGTTGAATCACAGGTTCCCGTACAATCACCGCAGTGAAGCAACCTCGAGATTGGTCAGTACATAGATGGGCGGCCGCTTGGAAATACCGGGTGTTATAGGTTAATTATTAAGACTTCAATCACTAAAAAAAAAATAACAACATTATTATCTCCAAAATAATAAAAAGTAAAATCACGTACAAAATATTTAGATTTTGGCATTAAATAACCCATAGAGGTTGATATGCCGCTAAACAAAAACAACTATTGTTTGCCCGACCGATTACCAGAATATTTAATGCACTGATTAAAAAATCAACAAATGTCTGTACTTGAGAATAAATTAATAACAGTTTAATCGACTGTTATTAATTTATTGACTATTGTTGCTTTAGCTTTATACTGAACACTTGACAAAACTTCTGCTCGATTTAAGATACGATAACTTTGTGTAATGTAATGTATTGTGATGAGAGTTATTAACTATACATTTTTATTATTATTATTATTATTATTATTATTATTAATATTATTTCTTTAGTTTTACTCGATACCTGTGTTTGAAATGGACGCACCATTTAACGCTGGTATCCACTAAAATAACTTTTGAAGCAATAAAAATGTCCGATTAAAATGGGAGCATTCGGAAAGGAAAGAATTGGAGGAGTCTAATTGGGATTACTAAGGTGTTTACAAGTGATGGCTGTCACTGAAGAGAGGGTAAAAAACGTCCATTGATGGTTTGGCCGTGTGGGCTGTCGCCCTTTCATATTGAAACAGCAAACGTCGGTTAGGAAAACGTTTTCGTTGTAATTCAGGCACAATCATTATCTCGATGTAACGCTTGGACTTCACATTAACAGCATTTTCAGTATGGTCTTCAAAAAAGTAAGGACCAATGACACCGGCTTTTCCAACAGTACACGAAACGGTCAGTGGTTCTTTGTGCAGTTCTCTTGGATTTTCAAGAGTATAATAACGATATTTCTGTTGATTCATTATGCTACTGAAATTAAAATGAACTTCATCCCTCATTAACAATATGAGGTTGTTATTTGTCTAAAATATTGCTTCCATCTGACGTGCAAAGTTAAGCCGCTGTGCATAGTCTCCTGGCCTTAACGGTTGCCAAATGACCAATTTGTAGGGGTGGAAATACAGATCCTTAGATACAATTTATTAATGTCTTAATGTTAATGTTAAGCTGAATTAGAAATCATTCAAAATGATAATTTTTTTTAATTTTACTATAAAGTTAAAAAATAAAAATTACAAATTTTAAGTTTAACCTTGGATTAATTTTAAAATATAAAAGTATTCAAAGATGGAACGGAGAAAAATATACATATATATTTTTATTTATTGTTTTAATCGAGAAGTCAAATTTCAGTTAGAGCAAACGCTAATCTAAGGAGATTCAAACATCGTAAGAACTTAGATACAATTGAAGGGATCTGAATTCAGATGATGTGGTCAAGAGAAGAATTTTACAAATGGCAAGGCAGACACAATCACATAATACACAAACACGTAAATATATTTAGATACATAAACAATCAATAATATCAGACACATATACATACAATTAAAAGCATATACAAGCAGTTACAAACACATACTAATAAAAACATAGACAGAATCACCAAAATTCAAGCCTAAAATATTAATAAGCGAGTACAATCAAATTATCAAAATTTTACATACATGGATATATAGATAAAAAGAGGGTTTAATTGATGAAAGTTAAGAAATGTATAATTGAAAAGCAAATATTCGGCTATGAACAAAGCAAAGAAAACGACAATTAAATATATACATGCAAATGAACAGACAAAACATATACGCCTTCACATATAAAAAGCTAACAGTCAAATCCGTATGCCCAAACAAAGTACAATACGGAAAATAAGAACCAGTATATATACAGTAATGAAAACACATTTACACACATATTTAGATGCACCCACATATATGCCAATATATGTATGAGTACACATGAATGCATACACGGATACAAATATATAAATATATACATAAATAAATACATATATACAGATATATACATAGATACACATATATAGATTACGCATACATATACACATATATACATGTACACATAGATATGAATACAAACATATCAACCCACACTCCTAAATATAAAAACAAACAAATAAAACAGCACTCAGACAAAAATGCGCAAATACAAGTATCTATATAAACATATATATAAACACACAAATAAACATACATACATATTAAAAAACATACGTACATTTTATCTAAGTGACTCTAATGAATTCAGAGCCCATTCAAAATTAATGTATAACGAATCACAACTGTTTAGTATTAAGATAACAAGGTATTCTAAATTATATCTCTATCAAACAAATGTAGATTATAGTTAGCATCGATAACCCATTTAAAAATGCTAAGATATACATACATACATATATATATATATATGTGTATATATATATATGCATATACATATACAAATAGACACATGACATTACATATATGATAAAATATAGTTTTAAGACATGCTATATTTATTGGTAAAGTTGTTCAGTGTCAGAGATAGAGCGCATGTAAATATAAAAGTGCAAACTGAAATCAAGACCAAGAGGTTACAGTCTGTTTCATGATTGAACGCCATCTTCAGGCCATCTGAAATGGACTGTCCCCGTTTGGTGTTAACCTCAGTGTCCCCTTATATATATGTATAGTTAGAGAAGGAAAGAGTTTGGGTAAGGGTATTGACATAAGATGAACACTGGATGACAACTGTCCGTTTCATGTCTCATCCAAATATACGCCTAATATTGCTTAAAACTTGAAACTGACGATTTCCGAACTGTCTCTATCTAATGCCACATTTCTGATAATGAACGCTCTTCCTTCATAAATAGAGAAATTATTTTAAACAAGACACACACCATTATATAAGTCGTGAAGTTATTCTTATACAATCCATCGATAAAATGTGATCACAAAAACTCCATTCAAAGTAGTTGTTTCTTTCTTACATTTTATTCTTCGTGTATGAATTGCACATTGTCACTGAAATAGACCGGTATATTTATCCAACGCTAATAATAGTCCGCCAATAAGTTCTCGTAAAAATCAGTATTCTTGACTGAGCGGATATCTTGCTTTTAAATTCTAAGGATGGCTCCCTCTCAAGAGAAAGAACGTATCAAAGAAGTGGATCGTTATATTATTCAAGGCTTTTACGACTAAAGAGTTCGCAAACTATATTTGCATTAGTTGATATAAAAATTGGCTAAGACGAAATGATTTCGACATTTTTTGCTAACTTATTTTATATCTATCTCTGTGTCTGTCTACCTGTCTATCTTTTTCGTTCTTTCATTCGTTCTTTCTATTTCGTTTTTTTTCTGTAATTCTTTCTATCTTTTTCGTTCTTTGATTTTTCTTTCTACTTCATTCTTTCATTCTAACTTTTTCGTTCTTTCTTTCTTTCTTTCTTTCTTTTTATCTATATTTTACGTCCTTTCGTCCCATCTATTGTCTCTCTATTTTTCCGTTTTTCTTTTTTCTATTCCATTCTTTTCGTATCTTTTTTCGTTCTTTAATTCTCTTTCCTTTCTTTCGTTCTTTCTATCTTTCTTTTTTTTGCGTTTTTTGTTCCTTTCTCGTGTTTTATCATCTTTATCTCTATTTCTTAATCTGTCAATCCACTTACTTTTTTTGTTTTTGCGGCAGGTTTAATTAACCGTCCGTTACAAAATGGAGGAAAGGTCATTTTAAACAAGCTTCTTAATGAATATCTTGTGAGTCATTTTGCTGAAAAGAAAAAGGATTTTCAGAAGAGAGTATTTGCAACATTTTCTCTTACAGTAAACAACTTTCACCTTAATCCTTTTCCTCTTTTTTTCCCAGGGAACATTAGTGACAAGTGTGCCGGTTTTAGTCGATTGAAATCTGTATTCACTTGTCCGGAAGGCAGGTGTTTACCTTCGGCTGTTCTTTGCGATCACGTAGCTGACTGTCTCGGTGGAGAAGATGAAATCAACTGCAGTAAGCTATTTTCTCTTTTGAATTGTTATCGATGCCCCACACAAAGTACCTATTTTATTTAAGAAATGTCACCTGTTTTAGTTTTTTTTCCTAAAGACCTTTATATGTCTATCGTACAATCTTGGTGAATTTGGAGAGAAATAGTGTTAACAATCCTACTCTAGAGACAATTTTAATCAATATGGAAGACGTATTATTATAGGAGGCGACATCTGTTTTGTTAGAGGCTTTTATTTTCCGGATTTCCGTACTTGACATTAACCCAGCTCATCTTAAGATGACCAAGGACGAAATGTGGAGAAATACACTTAAAACAAATGAATATATCAAGGGGAAAGTGGGTGTAAAATGTAACCATTCAAACCCGTGGCTTATTGCAGGTCACAAAAACCGATCTCTTCCAGGCGTGGATATGAAGTAAATCTTTATATCATTAAATACATAAACTTGTGATGTTACAATGATCAACGTATTTATTATTTATTTCTGGTTACATTCAATGCCTCGAAAACCAAATTAGTTACATTCAATCAACCCTAATTGGGCCCCGAACAACTACTAGACACAATGAATAGATGTTCCCTCAGGGAGGCCCCGTGCCTTGAGCGACTATTTCCACATTCAGTCAACCTAAACCTCAAGTGGAACTTGTACTTACGATCCATCGCTAAAGATGCAGGAAAACAGGTCGGTTTCCTGTACTGCTCCAGTAAGTCCCTGACTCCAATGCTATCCTCTACCTTTACAAGAGCCAGATCAGATCTAAAATGGAGTACTGCTGTTATATTGGATTAGTAACTGCCCAGTCTTCATTTTCCGGTCTCGATAATGACCAAAAACATCTCGTTGTGAGTGACAAATTATTTTCCACCCTGTAACCCAACTCTCACAGATGAGATATCACAAACCTCTTCCTGCTCTAGCGCTACTTCCATGGAAACTGATCGGACGAACTACATTCCTTGGTTCCACCACTTCTAATCTTCATAATCTTTTCTTTCATATTCCGTTGGTGAGTAGTAAGTTCCATTCGAGCAGGTTCTTCCCGCGAAACACTGCTCTGTGGAACCGACTCCCAAGACATTGTTTTCCCGATCACTACAATCTTAACCGTTATCTTACTTTTCCCCTATCCGCAGAAACTATTACTCATACTATGTAAGCTTCTACCTCGAGTGGCTCCCGGTTTTTGTGCAGTGTGAATCTCACAGTAAAAAAAAAAATCATTATAGATTATTCCCGCAAATGAATTAAGTACTAGTAGTGTATAAAGCGAGGACTTATTTTTTCAGTCACCACCTTACTTCGGATAGATCTATCGACTAGTCAGCCCAGCACGCGTCGATATAGTGAGGTCTTCTGTTCATATAATCAGCGTAATTGTATCCATCACCGGCTTGCTGCGTCTGAAGCGTCGCTTAAAGCTGCTGGTATTGCCCAGTGGTCACCCATCTGATTACTGAGCAGGCTCAACTTTGCTTAACGTCGATCAAACGAGAACCGGTGTTTCAAAGTGTTATATATGTAAACACTCACAATAACGAATTCTTCTGCGTGACGTGTTAACTAATCATAGGACTTTGAGTAGCATCCTAATCACCTATACTTATCAGTCTAATTAGTAGTGAATATGTGATGTAATGGACAGTCTTACGCAGTGAAGAAGAGCAGGTGTTCTGACCTGGAAATGAGATGGGAAATGATGGCAGGTCTTCCTGTGCCGATGCGGAAACGTAGATGTCACTCTGAAATACCTGACAAGAATTTGAATTTTTTTCCTTTTCCCTCCATTGGTTATCATTAATATCAATTAAATTTACACGTTTATTTTTTTATATCCCTGAAAGAAACTTGATAAGGCTGGGACGAAACCGGTTGTTTTTTAGCCTTTGAAATATAGATTAAAATGCCATATAAATTATGCTTCTTCCTAGCTCACTTTCTCTCTCTGTCTCTGTCTCTCTCTCTCTCTTTTATACATACATACATACATATATATATATATATATATATATATATATATATATATATATATATATATATATATATATATATTCAAACAGTTTTAGTTGAATCAATTTGACATAATATGTCTGTTTATTTTTGTTTTAATCCGTTCGAATTCACAAATCAATTTCTTGGTAGTCGTAGAAAATTGTTTAAGAAAAACCGCCAAATTTCTCATTCATTTTTTTTTATTTTCCTAAGTACATTCAGTTTCATCGGAGACCATCTTCAGGGGTTTAAATTTTCTGTGTATGTTTAAACGTATTTCTGTAAATTCAAATCGTGTTTACTGTTTGTTTTACTGCATTTTTCATCGTTCTATATCAATGTCAAATTCACAATCAATGTATTTCTTAACATCTGTGAGTCTTTTAGCATTGATTATCACCGACAATAAGTTACTGGTTCCAACTCTAATGAAAACGCCATGTGAAATAAAAACATCCCAATTCAACTTTATAATATTAGTTTTGTGTTGGTAAAGCAATGCGTCTATGATGTTTACTGTAAATTGTTTTTTTATTCAAGTACAGCGCCCATCACAGGAGAGTGGCAGCGGGAACGCTTTGCACTATCATTTTCCCCCAAAGCTTCAGCAATTCAGTATAGTACGCCTTTCCTGATGCAAGATTTTTTTTGACAATAACGTTTAGCATTTGCTTTGATGCTGAAGGCTCTCTCTGGATCCGCCCACGGATTTTCGACGTTTCTGATACGGTAGCGAACAATTTGACAACAGTACACAAAATTATGTTTGAATAAAAGACAGAAATGAATGCATATGGTGAGATATTTGCCAAATGTTGCGCTCTGGCAGTCAAGGGAGAAATCTGTTTTCTAGAATCTCTCACACTTTGCAAACGTATTGAAACTGTTGATGCTTGTCATGAAGTTTTCAATCAATTCCAACGTTTATTGATTGGAGATCATTATTTGCAAATTATCTATTTATTTTTTGTTTTGCGTGTGTGTTTAACGATGGGTGGTTTATCAGCCATTTTAAATTTACTTTTCTACAACTTCACAATTTATTCAAATTCTCGACAAAAGTAAAGTTAATAAAAAATAAATCGACAAAGCAGTTGAACCAAAAATTTAAATAAAAAGGAATTAAACAAAGTACTCCTGTTTTTATTTGTCTAAAATTGCATATATATATATATATATATATATATATATATATATATATATATATATATATATATATATAAATTAAAGTATGCTTTATTCCGACAATATTTCTTATTACTATAAACATTATACAGTGAGTGGCATAAATAACTTCTACAGTTGTTTTTAATGAAACTTGTATAAAAGAGGGGTTGCTGCCCAAATACACAATTATTACATTACACGATCGGCAGCCAACAAGGAATGTAACACTACAACATTCAGAAAAAAAAACTTGTTTTATGACAAATCACAACAGTGAATATGTGTGTGCGTTTATTGGGTAAATATGTGTGTATGTGTATGCGTATGTATTGTGCGAATATATGTGTATGTGTGCCCGTATGTATTGGATGAATATATATGTGTGCGCGTGTGTGTGTGCGTATATATGGGATGAATACATATATATAAATATATATGTATGTGTGTGTGCGCGCGTATATATTGGATGATTGTTTATGTCTGTGTGTTTGTGTGCGTATGTAATAGGTACGTACATATGTGTGTGTGTGTGCGTATGTATATATAAAGAAGACTTTAATTATTTGTGGATTATGATTTTGCATTTTGTTTTTTGTTTTGTTTTTTGTGCATTATCGATTTTGTTAGAAAATACGGATTCGAAATTAGTCTTTACGTTACCCTGACAGAATGAAGAAAATTACAGTCATAAGTTTTAAGATTCGAAATATATAGAATTCATTTTTCCGCAAACATCACAGTAAACAACGTCGAATAAAAATAAGTGCATTATCTATTTTTACCTATATAGATAATACCAACAGACTCTTTGTTTAACGTTTATGCCGCTAAGCTTGTATGATTTTTTGTTTTTTGCTTTTTTTTCCTTTTTTGCAATTGACTTTCCGGGTTATAATTTTCAAGCAGAGACGAAAGTTTTTCTCTATTTTATTGTCCTGAACTTCAGGGAACTGTTTTAGACTAGTTTCCATCTAAAATAATTGGTTTTGCTAATGACAGATTGCTACAAACGGTAAGTTCCGTTTGTGCAAGGTTTCCATTCCTGAATTAGCAGAGATTTAGAGGAACTTTAGATTATCCAAACCGGATTGTAATAAAAAAATCTGTCAATGTCTATAGATTATAATACCATCATCCTAGAGTTTAAAGATTATTCTCCTAAAGCAATCCATCTGTCAAAATGACAAGAAGCGAAGCAAGCAGGAGTTGTTTTGTTGTTTTGTTACGTTTTTTTTTTTTTTTTTTACGTTATTTACTAAGCTATGCCAGGACTACTTAAATAGACTGGTCCGCTCCTTCAAAAAAATAAAAATCTTTGTGAAAATCTTCTTTGTATATTAAAATTCTTTAGGCCACAATAATTGTCAGAATCGATATGTATTGCGATTTTATCGATTTATACTTAACATCCGAAAGAGACAATTGAAAGTACAGGGTCACATAATGAGGAAAGAGAACTTAGAAGATGTGATACTCATGGGACAGAGAAAAACAACGCATAACCTATCTAGCGACTTTGAGTAGATAGATAGTGGAACAAGGTTTAGGAGAGATAGCAAAAAGCCAAAATTTATTAAGCGATACAATGGACAGGAAATTGTAAAGAGTCATGATAGCCAATGTTCTGAAGTGGCACGGCACATAGAAGAGCCTAAGGAACGATAAAAAAGCCTAAATAAAACAAGGTGAAAATAACTGTAAAATTTAGGGATCGATTTGATACTATATCAAAATTATAAACAGCCCTGCCCACACTACAGAATTGATAAAAAAAATTATTTTCGATTATGATACGTGCTGCAGCCTAAAAATCTGCCAACATTATTCCCCAGTAAATCTTACCCTATAGTTTACAAGTAGATGACTCTATTTAATTAGCGCCGCTACACTTTATAAATACCAGAGTAAATGGCGGGAAGTAGCTTGGGAAAATGTATTATACCAATCAGAAATTATTTAACTAATCCTAGGATAATGTAAGATCAGTATGCCTTGGAAATCAATAGACATCAAATGTTTATATATACTGAAAAAAAGAGGAAAAGAGAAAACGGTAGGAAAGGGTAAGGAGTAAAGTAAAAAAAAAAAAAAATAAACGACGAAAAAGGCAAATAACTACGACATTCTATGCTTACACGCAAACGGGCGAACCCAAAGACGCACGCACACACCCACGAAGGCACACATGCATTAGGAAAAAAAAAAAAAAGAATAAATGAAAAGTGCACATGAAAAAGAAAAATCGAGAAGGTTAAGAAATCAACTGCTGGTAACCCCTGATAAGTGAACTGAGGTTCTATCTAGAAAACTCTAGAGTCACGATTATGAAGGCAACATCAATCAAATAAGTGACAAACCTTTAACTGTATTAATTCATTCTAACTCTCTCTCTATCTCTTTCTCTCATATATATATATATATATATATATATATATATATATATATATATGGAGAGAGAGAGAGAGAGACGAATGGACACTCAAGCCAACACTGAGTGGCTTAAGTATTTAATGCATGAACGCAATCCTCACGCCATGAAGATTACATACAAGCATAAAACAGACTATCGCCACTGTGTTCACCAGTGTCGACACCAGTATTTACAGACGTTCTTTCCCTCATATGGAGCACTTTTATCCATAAATATAGCACACCTTAAATTATATTTTATCATATATATATATATATATATATATATATATATATGTGTGTGTGTGTGTGAAAAAACGTCCAATACATGAACTACGAATTGGAAATGTCAAAATCAAGCAAGTATAGAATTTCAAATATATGAGAATTTTTTAACAGACGATGGAAAATATGACACTTCAATCCGAACGCGCATTGGAATAAGAAAAATGCCTTCCAAAACTTTGCTAAAGTTCTGGAAGCAAAGTATTGGAAGTAGTAAGAAACAGGAAAATTTCGTTAGAAACAACAAAAAAAAAACTGTTGAAATGTTATGGAATATCAATCCTCTTATATGTCAATTATTTGTTGGACAATCTGAGACATGAAGACAAAATTGGAGGCAATAAAATTTGGTTCTACAGAAGGATGATGAGAATACCGTAGACGAACCGCGTAGGCTACAAAGTCGGAGTCTTAAGGAAAATGGCAACACAAATGTCTCTTATACTCAGATCAGAAAAGGACCGTTGACATTTCTAGATGAGAAAGGTCAACATGGAACATGTAACACTCACATGACCTATCAATGGCAAAAGAGAAAAGAGGATGCAGCAGGCCACCAACCTAACGATCTTGTGTGAATCGATGGCGGAATGCGGGTAGGAGGGATGATGAGGAATGATAGCAAGCAATGATCTACAAAGGATAAGAAGTTGTGGAGAATCATGATTGCCTACATTCTGAAGAGACACAGCAACAGAATAAGTAACCCAGACTAAAATTCAAAAACGTTTTGCAAAATTACCGACGGACAAATTTGTTCAGAGTAAAATAAAAACATTTAAAAGAAAACAATAAAAACAGGAAAATTGCTGTATGTACACTGCAGTTTCTCCAATAAAATCATGGCTCTCAACAATTTTCTTTTCTTTAATATCTGTAAATTGCCTTGATTTTTTTTGTGAAACGTAATGTAGTGATTTCCTCTTACGTACTCCACTCATTTGGGTACCCCATGAGGTAGAATGCCACGTGTACCTACTATTTAATTCACAGCTGGATTAAGACCTTTGTCACACGTAGTGGGAAGGCAATATAACAGGCTTCAAATTCAGTGTCGATAACCGTGACGCGACAGGTATATCCCACAATTCTTGGATCAGAATATAGCAGTTTTGCTCCATGGTCTTGACTTCTGATCAGTCTCATCTATGTACTCTATATTTTGTAATGGCAAGGTTGTTTTATAGCAACTCACTAGCAGAAGTGTTATGATGGGGATATCGCTTGCGTCTCGGTAGCGCATATGAATCAGAATATTCATTAATTTTGTTTGCTATTGCGAAAGAGAAATTACAGACGCTAGAAAAGAAAAAAAGAATTTGTAATGATCCATATTTTTGCCGTTATAATAATACTGACATCTCATTTTAACAGATATATTTATTTAGCAAAATTACACAAAATATCTTGAAATACTAAACAGTAAATTTATTCAATAAAATCGTCATTAGCTTCAACCACGGCCTCCAAATAACTTCGGAATCTCCTGTAACACTTCTGGACTCTCTCCTTGTTTAAGTTGGTGAATGCTGCCATAATCCTTGCCTTCAGTTATTCTTTATTGTTAGAAGGAGTTTTTTGGTCTCTCGGTCAACTGCGCCCCCACACAATAATTAAGGGGGTTGAAGTCTGGAGAGTTAAATGGCTAGATCTAAGAGTATGTACTCGCAGAAATTGTCTGAGAGCAATGACTGGGTCCTTCTGCATGTGTTGCAGAGTTCTGTTGCCAGACATAGGTCTTCCAGCAGCTACCCTCCTAATCTAATGCAGCACTACCTCATCAAAGCACTTAATGTAGGCTTCAATGTTGAGTCTGAGGCCTTCACCAACAAATTCGGGAGTTCGTTTCTTATCAGAATAGTCATAATTATTTTTCTGATCTGCCGATTCTTCGTAATCACCATTAGACTCATCCAACACTTTCCGGATCCTCAGCACTGTCCTCAAATTGACATTCAAACACTTAAATATTCGTATTGGAGATTCCAGCGCGAATGGCAAGCAATACATGATGCCGTTTCCAAATTTCTGGGGGAGTGAATTGTGTCATAGTGCTCTTTTTCTCACAGACATTCCCAACTGATCCTACTATACTGTGCAGTAGACAAAATACGAAACACACAGCACAGATGCGCGAAATTAAAATGTACCAATTTTACCTATCGCTCCCTGTTATTCGGATTGTTGTCTCCCGTCTTTATTACTATATTCACGAAGTTTCGGTCGCCCACACTCAGACCTTCTTCAGGTGATATTTCTTGAGATTTCGAACAGAACAGATGGTAGATTCTTCTAATTTCAAGTGCCATGCCGTTGGATATCTCAGTAGTTGCTCCCTCTGCTATGTCAAGGTATTGAACTCACAGTGAAACAGAGAGAGCAGAAGAAACAGAGAGAGTGTGAGAAACAGATAGAGAGAAACAGAGTGAAAGAACGACAAACAAAAAAACAGAAAGGGAGAGAGAAGGAAAGAGCGATAAAGAAAGGGAAAGAAAGTAAAAGAGAGAGAAAGGAAGAGAGAGAGAGAAAGAATGAGGGATAGAAGGAAAGAGTGAGAAAGAAAGAAGGAGAGAGATAAGTAAAGAAAGAGAAGGAATGAGATAGATAAGTAAAGAGAAACAGATGTTAAACGAATTTGAAAATTAATGTCCGAAATTCTGGGATGAAGAGTTATGGTTAAAGAAAGAGAAAGAGAGAGAAGGGAACAGAGAAAAAGAGTAAAGGAGAGAGAAATAGGCAGACAAAGTGAGAGAGAAAGTGGGATAGAAAAAGACGGAAAAAGAATAAATAGATTATTTTTTCATTTGTGCTCCGAAATATTTTCCAATCAACATCAATTATAATTAAATTGTAGTTATATTTCAAATAATGGACTTACTTTTAAGAAATAGTGACACTCAAGTACCTTTTTTTCGCAAAAAATTAGCCCTAGCAAATTCCGGAATAATCAAAATTACCTTCTCAATGAACCGATTATATTTATTTCAGAAAAAAACCGCTTTAACAGTGGCGCCTCTATTTTTCGGAATGCTTCCTTGCAGACGAAATAGATCATCGATTTCTTCAACATGAAAAAGCCATTTTTAATTCCAAATGCGTCTGCTCCTTCGAAAAAATGAAAAAGCAGCCACTTAATAAAAAAAAAGAAAAAAAGTTGTATTACTCTATCAAAATTTATCTGTTAACAGCTGGTCTACATCTGCAAGAGTAAAAGAGTAGAGACTCCGCCTAAATACTCCCGAATAGTTTACTCTCCCCAGAAAAAAAAGGACGGAGGTAACGTTAATAAAAATAAAACAACACTCTATTTTTGCAAATGTTTAGATCACTTCAACGTCTTTGTTTTCCTTCGCTTGCTTGCTTCATTTCTTCTTTCGCTTCCTTGCTTGCTTTCTTCCTCTCTTGTTTTCTTTCTTCATTCTATTGTTTTCTTTCTTTATCTCCTAAATGTATGAAAGCTGTCATTTAATTTTCCATATTAAGTTAAGCCGCAGAGTTTATTTTTCAATACGTCCAGGCATCAAATATTGCTGGCATATCTGGTCAGCTTCTTCGGCTACGTATCTCGAGATTCGTAACAAAATCCGAAGAAGGGTTCGTAATGTTGTCTATCATGACCTGGCATCTCGACTTCAGTCACTTTTCCAGCTTCGTCTTTTCTATAAATATTTTCTTGGCAATTGTTCTAATGAACTCTTCTCCTTTCTACCTCGCCCGCTTGATTATAAGCCTACCACTAGATTGGCAATTAGCTATCATCGATTTCATTTTGAAACAGCTAGATGTAAGTTCTATACAAATAGTTTCTTTTCTTCTAACCCTGCCACCTACAATCTTTAGAAATTTAAAGGCAATGTCAATCGCCATCTTATGTCTTCCTTTATTATGCTTCCCGTTCCATTATTGTCCTTCCTCCTCACTAAAGACTTCTCATTTTTTTCCTGTCCGAATCCCCTCTTGCGTCTTAGTGGCATTATCGCCTTTCTTGGGTTGAAATGATAAATAATACTTTTTAAGATAATATTTCATTTTACCTATAAAAATATGTGCAAATAAACGTAAATTACGATTGAGCCTTTCAGATGGGTGTACTGATATTGCTCTGCGGCAAGTCACATCTATTGAGTAAGCTTAGCTTAGTAAGGTACAAGAACATTTTAGCTGAGTAAGTGACGTCGTCCCCTGGTCGGAGCGCCGACTGTGACGTTCTATCCTGATCTACCACGGCACCAGATGTGACGTCCCCAAACAGCACCAATTGTGACGTCCTCGCCGCGGCGCCAGCTGTTCGCTCCTCCATGCTCCGTTCGGGTGTCGCTGCTCCAAACGTGACGTCCGCCTGTCGCGTCAGTCGTGTTGTCTCGTCCTGTGACGACCAACTGGCTTGGTATCGGTCGCGGCACCCAAAATGTGACGTTCTACCTTTTGGTGATTCGGGTGGGAATCTGATTAGATTTGATATCAGCCTCGTCGTTCCCAACTCGCTTCCAACACCTGGTTACCAAGGTAACTGCATTGATCTCCAATCTGCCTACCCACGTTGTGAATTGATCTTAGGCAGACGAGATCAATCAGTAGTCGGGGCCGTAATGCAAACCGAGTTCAACGGGGGTGATAACACACAAATATGCATAAAAGAAAATAAAATGAAAACTCAAAAGTTCAAATTATCAAAGAAAAAGGTAACAAACTTTATGTCTAGTTGTTCGAAACATAGGACTGCATCTATCTCCCGACCCGTTCTATGGATTGTGACACGTCGTTTTCCGTTAGGCGAGTTTTAACGCTTCAAGTTGTTTGCTCTCTAAGAAATTGGTTTTTCGGTGTGTCTTTGGACGAAAGTCGAAAAAAAAACTTATTTCGGTGGTCTGGATCTAAGTCGCTCTTCAAAATAATTGTTCTTGGGTTGAAGAGGAGTCCGGAATTTGCGTGAATCTTGGTCAGCTACCTGCGAGTCGGCTTCAACTGGAGACTGACTCTGGGAACTCAACTCTGGAACTGCTGGAGCCCGAACTGATTTCTGCCTGTGGGGGCCTTGCTTTTATTGACGCCGACCAAAACCGGGGTGGGTCTGTCGGCGTCGGGGGTTCCTCGATAATTCTAAATACATATCCACCTTTTTTTATTTCTGGATAGGGATTTTCCACTCTTTTCCATTTTTGGGAACCTTTCCTCACTCCCACTTTCTCACCATACTTCGGGGGGGCGTGAACTGCCATCCCCACTTCCACGTAGCAGCTTCTCATACTTATACTCTGGATGAGGCGTCGACAGCCTTCTTCGTGCGTCACGTGATCACCACTTGACCAATAATGTCTTAGTCGGGCGTGAACAATCTGCGGCTTTGTTTCGGGGAAAAAATATCTTGCTTAACTAAAAAGAATATCTCTTCTCTTTCCCTTTTCTTCCGCTTTAATCGCCGTTATCATTTTTCTAGCCGCAAACGGACAATATGACAACTCTTGTTCTACACGTGGTGTTTGTCAGGTATTTTATCGCTAATTATCAAAATGGGTGGTCTTCTTAACACGGCCTCAAAAAAGAAATATCTCTAAAGTTTCAGTCAGTCTGTCGCCACCAAGGAAGAAGAAAAAACACTTCTGGGTACCCATTTATTTTCCTTCGGTACATATTTCTGATAACATAATTTTATTATCGCAGGCCAAAGTTGTTTCGTCGAAAAAAAAAATCGGTCAGCGGACACGGCTTGTGTGGTTTTTAATTTTTCATATCTACCCAAAGTCCTTTTTAGTTGCCTGTTTTTCGTCACTTATCGAAATAGCATTTTCACTTGAATTTTTCCCTGGCTAGTTGACCAGCCGTTTGTCTAGATAACACAGCCGTTATCAAAACACATCTGATTCTTCCTTTCTTTCCCTTTCTTTTTACTCAGAATTTCCCTGTCATTGTAATGACACCCTTTTCGCCATTTGTTACTTATCAATATTTTCATTGTCTCTTAGCCGTGTGTGTGTTCTGCTGATCACCCACGATTCGTCTCGCCTTTCTTTCTGCCTTCTTTTCTTTCTTTTCCTTTCTCTGCCTCGTAAATGGTGCCACAAGTACCCATTTATTACCAATTTTGTCTATGAAACAAACTTGCTAAAATTGGTCCCCTAGCAACAGCACTTAACGTTTTAGTCATTTTACCCCCAAGAAAGACAATAAAGCCACTAGAACTCAAGGGGTTACTGAGTCTTAGAGAATATGAGAAAAACTAATATTAAGGAGAGAGGGCAATAAAAGAATAAAAATTAAGAAGACAGAAGATAACGATTGTCATTGCATTTAAATTTTTGAAGATCGAAGGCAATAAAGCTACTCGGACACAAAGGGTTACTGAGTTTTAGAGAATATGAGAAAAACTATTATTAAGAAGAGAGGACAATAAAAGAACAAGAATTAAGAAGACAAAAGATAAAGATTGACATGGCATTTATATTTTTGAAGATCGAAGTTAACAGGGAAGCAATACCTAGAAGAGAGCTTCACTAGCGGGAAGTGCGAAAGAAGAAACCGTTAGCAGACAACTTACGGTTACAGTTAACTATTTCAACTGCAAAATGATGAGATTTTGCCGCCAATCTAGTACTGCGTCCCAAATCTTTAAATCAAGGTACCAGGGCGGAAAGTTAATCAGAACAATTACCATGAGAGTATTTGAAGGAAAGGCACAGAGAAGCTACGTTACGGCGGTGGGAAAGGGACTGAAGCTGAAATGTCACGTCAGTAACACTGCAGTGTATTCATAAAATTGATTTACAGATTCTTAACTCCTAGTATGTCACTAAAATTGGATTTCATTAATATAATAAAACAATTTGCTTTAGTGAGTCGATATCTAGTTTTATGGTTGATGAACCAAGAGTTTGCAGAATCCGACGAGGATTTATATGAAGACCAGAAAAATAAAACTTTGAAAATAAAAGAAAGGTGTAGGATAATCGTTCCCGACAGGTTTACACCTGCTCATGATAAATCAGTTTCCGCCTCATATCGACCGAAGTAACTTTCACAAACAACTAAGTTCTTGTTTCTCATCTTATTATGGGCTGTGTGAGCAAGTGTTTTCTGTGTGATGGAGTTGTTTTTCTTTGCTAAATGCTATATGCACTCCTCCCAATTCCGTAGTATCACCCCGTTAATACTTTCTGTAGCCATATGTGTTGAAAAATCCAGAGAAAGGATATCGATGGTCTAGCCGATTCAGTTCAGTCATATTTAGTGCCGTGACCAAGATGGTTTCCAGTGGCACCTGTCACCTGAACTGCCTGTTTTAAATGCCCGGTCATTATACGTTTGTACTCTGTGACTCTCAACCCTTAATTTCTCTAATTCACATTATATTCAGTAGTGATATAATTTTTTAAATCCTTTTTCTAACATAGAAAAACATTTTATCTCCTTAGAATAAATTTTATTTCGTCAGTCGCCCTTCGACACTACATTCCTTCACTGGTTTTATAGGAGTATCGTTAATATAGTGTAAAAACAACAGAAGTGTTTATTTTACTTTTGAAACACAATATGGAACCTTTCGAAACAATTTTTTTCTGAAAAAAAAGACAGAATATATAATTTATAAGTCCTTAATATATTTTTACGGATTTCACAAAAGATTGCATGGACATCGCATATAACAGCTAATGCGTTCTTATGCTTTACAGGAGAATGAAAACGAATTTGAAAATTACCGTCCGAAAATGCGGAGTTATCATTAAATACACTTTTTTTACATCCGAAATATTCGAATACTGTTTTGGTTTTTGTTCCGCCTGGGCTTTTCTCGAATCAGATAACCTTCAAAGAATATGAAAATGATCCCTTTATTTAATCTAGGTGGTAAATTATTCATATTCCGCTCTCGATGTCAACGGGTATATTGTCAATTTTATTGTACACAGATTGGGATTGAAGCGTTTCATCGTTAATTTCGTGGCTTAGTAATTGTGAGTTTAGTCCCTGTGCTGAGTAGTAACTAAGCACTGCCGAAAAGAAAATCGTACCGAGATCAACTTCCTTTTTTTTAATCATTTCACTGAAACAAAAACAGGCTATATTTGGGAGCTAGGGAATAATAAAAGCTGAACGGAGCTGAAAAAGGTTGAAGATTGCGATGAACGTTGCATTTAAATTGTTGAAGATTTTAGTTATCAGGGAAGCAAGGAAACGGAAGGGAGTTCCACGAGAGGGAAGTCTCAGAAAAGAAACGGTTGGAGTAGAAATGGCGGTTATATTTTCTTAATTCAACAGTAAAATGGTGGGACCAAGATACCAATCTAGTAGCACGCTTAAACACACGTAGTCATTGGGAAAAAAAGCTCATCAGAGCAATAGTCATGAAAATATTGTAAGAAAGACAGACACCACGTCACGTCGGTTAGAAAGTGACTGAAGTCGAGATGCCAAGTCAGGATCGATTAGATTGCCGAAACTTCTTTGAATTACAACACTTTTATTTCCTTCCTCCAATTTTATTAGGGAGTTTTCTCCTTGTTTCAGGTGGAAAATTCTCCCCCTATAAAAACAATGGCAATACTTTCCCCTCTGTATTGCTAGGGTGGATTACAAAGACCATCGTTCTGTTCGTCTTATTCAAACTTTGGGTATTTTTCTTTCTGACAATGATTTGCGGATATTGGTTTTAATTCTTTTTATATTTGCCCATTTTCTTTTCCATTTTGATCATCATAATTCTAATTTTGAAAAAGAAGTAACATCGCAGTTCGTCGAGTTTGTTCCTTAGTTTGGAAAAATTTGAGGATTTTCCGATTTTAATTGTTTGATGAATCTTAATAATTAAGTTATGATTTATTAAGTTCATGGCGAGTTCTACAATAAAATATCCGTAGAAATTTTCCTTATCGACAGTAAAATGTTCCCTATCACATCGTTAAGTACTTGAGCTTATCTTTAGCAAAATATTGCAATAACAATCATAAATACGAATAGTGGTTGTTATTTTAAGAAGTAAGGGAGTACAAATGAAAAGATTTGGAATTAACAACTTTTTCCATTTCATTAGAACACGTTAACACTTCATCTTCCCTTCTTTCATTTTTTTCTCACTGCAACCAAGTAGCGTCTCTGATGACTTTTCTGCGGATTATTCTTACTGTTCCTAAGAGGCTTCCTATCTGCAATAGTTCCGCTGGGCAATCAATGCCAATTTTCTTTTTCCATGATCCTATTCTCCCAATCACCGTACCAAACGCACCAATAACAACTGGTATGATCGTAACCTTCTTCAGCCTTCAAAGTTTTGCGAGTTCAAACTTCAATGAATCATAATTGATTACTTTCTCTTCTTCCTTTTGTTCTATACTAGTATCAAAAGGATACGGTGGATCAATGATTAACCATTCTTTTTTTCCCATTTTAACTTCCATTATTAAGTCCAAAAGTTATTTATGAGAAAACATTTTTGTATGTAGTATTAGTAGTAGTATTTTCTTAGACAAGAACTTAATATCTGCTAATTAACGTATGAATAGCAGGCGAAGACCAACAGTCTCAGGTATCATACAATTTTCCTCTGGCTCTAAGTATTCATCACTTCCCGGATTTTTCTTGCCGTAACTAACAGGCTACTTTCCGTAACGGTTCCACCGGGCAACAATGCCAATTTTCTTTATCCATGTCTCTACTCTGTCAGTAACCGTGCCAAGCGCACCAATAACCATCGGTATAATGTGATATCGCTATAAGGCAACGTTGTAGCAATTCCTATTCAATATTAAACCACTTGCAAACTGATCGGAAAAATCATAAACAGAACATGATAAAACACGTTGTTCGATATTTTTTCAATGTGAAAAGGTATTTAATCCAGCAGAATACTCATAATTTTTTAAACTTGCTAATAGAGCATGGTATTAACGAAGATAGCAGTACTGCACAAAAGTAACAGGAAATAAAGATTGAAGAGTGGGTAAACCAAAAGGACGCGATATCATTTAATTTGTTTCCAGAAGGCACTGAAAATATTTTCTGGAAAATTAACTGAAAAAAGAATGGAAACAAATACAAATTCTAAGTGATCTGAAAAGGGAAATTGTCAAGCTAATATTTAAATGAACAGAAATGTAACAAAAGGTAATATCTGATTGTAACTTTGGAAAATTGATCATGAAATGATCTGGAAGATGTCCAGGAATATATCGAGCCCAGGAATTTAAGTAAACTAACAAAAAAGTGTATGATGAAAGAGGATCTCTCTCTCCCTCTCTCCCTCTCTCTCCCTTTGTCTCTCTCTCTCTCTCTCACTCTGCGTGTGTGTGTTTTTTGTTGTTTTTTTTACTTTATATTGCTTGTTTATTTTTCATTGGCTTATTCTTTCTCCTTAAATTTATATTACGAAAAGCCATATACTTTAGTTCCGCCATTTCAGAACTTTACAACTAGTACACAATATACTACTTCAACGGAGTTGAAAAACACACATTTCTTCCGAGTCTCAAAGGTAAAAAGAATTTTGCAATCAGACAGACTTTTCCAAAAAACTCCAACTTAGTGGAACAGACTCCCACGTGAATCTAATTGAAGCGCATTACTAGATTGGCTGCTAGTCCTCATCATTTTACTGTTGAAATTCATAAGTGAAAAGTTCTATATTAATGGTTTCTTCTCTCATGCTTCTTCCAGTGGAACTGTGTTCCAGCTTTCTGCTTTTCTCTCAAATAAAATCTTCAGACTTTTAAATACAACCTTATACCAGTGCCTCTTCGATTTTTTCATGGCATCTCTTGTCAATGTTTTATTTTATTGTTTTTTTTTTCAATCTCAGTAACATCTTGCGTAATAGTGGCATTATAGGTTTGTTTGGGGAGAAATTATTCAAAGAAAATATATACAGATTTGTTTTTTAAATCTTTTTTGGTGCCATCTACTTCGCTTTTAAGTCCTCTTTTTTTACCTTTGGTGGCAACCATTTTTTAGCGTAAAGTTTTGCTGTGATGATAGTAGTATTGCGTGATGTCATTAGAAGGAAGGAAGGAATGATATTCCTGTAGAGATGTGGACATCGTTTGATCTTCATAGCAACTGGAGCTAACATGTATTTTTTTACCGGTTGTTGTTCGTGCAATATGATTTATTACTGATAAGTATTGGGCATTTTATATAATTTACGAGATTTGCATTATCCATTTAACTAATAAATGAACAAATTTTAGAAAAGTGGAATGGCAAAGCTGTGGTATGTAGTAAAAGAAAAATGAAAGAGGGATAAAAATAGAGATAAGAAGAGGAAAAAGACAAAAGGAAAAAGAGGAGAAGGATAAAAGAGAGAGTAAAGAAAAGAAAGGGAGGAAAGAGAGAAGAGAAAGAAAAGAGAGTAAAACAGAAACAGGAGAGAAACATACAGACAAAAAGAGCAAAAATGGAGAAAAAGAGAGAGAAATAGTGAATAAAGAGAGAAAAATAGAGAAAAGAAAGAGAATAGAAAAATGCGAGAGAGAAAAAGATAGAAAAAGGAAGAGAGTGAAGAGAGAAAAAAGAGAGAAAAGATAGAGCGAAAAGGAGAGAAAGAGAAAAATAGAGAGAATAGAAAAAAGAGGGGAGAAATCGAAGGATAAAGATAGAAAAAGAGAAGAGAGAAAAGAAAGGATAGAAGAGATATGGAAGGAATAAAGAATTGAGGAAAGAAAGGAGAAAACTTGAGATAGATATTAATAAAGAATATAGAGAGAAAAATGAGGAATATAGATGAAATAGAAAAGCGGAATATAGCACAGAAAAATAAGATAACATTGTAACTGAAAATAGAGGGAGAGAGACAAAAAGGCTGAATGAAGAACAGGTAAATGTAAGAAGAGAGGGAATGAAAAAGGAGATGATAGGAGTAAGAAAGTGAAAAGAGAAATGAGAAAAAAATAAGGAACAGGCTAAAAACAACGGGAAAAGAATAGAATAGAACAAGAAATATAGAAGAGTGGGAAAAAGAATTGGGATGATAAAGAGAAAATATGAAGGGCTGAATACGGAATAGGGAAAGGAAGTAGAAAATAAAATTAGGGAAAGAAATTCAAATAATAATCTAGAGTAAGAAGGATGAAAGAGAAAAAAGAGAGGACAGTAAGAGGGAAAAAGTGAAAGAAAGTGAAAAAAGATTGGATAAAAACACATAGAATAGGAAGGGGCAGAAACAGGATAGAAAGAGAAAAAAGGATGGAAGAAAAAGAAAAAAGAGAGGATACAAAGAGAAAAAATCTGGAAGGAAAGAGAAAATAGTGGCAAGAAAGAGAAAAAAGGGGATAAAAGAAGGAAAAAAGAGAGGATAGAAAGAAAAACAAGAGTGGAAAGAAAGAGAAAGAACGAGACGATAGAACGAGAGTAAAGTGTAGACAGAAAGATTAAAAAGAGCGGAAAGAAAAAGGAAAGGAGTGGATAGAAAAAAAAGAGAGGATTTAATGTGAAAACAATGGAGAGAGAAAGAGAACAGAAAGGAACAAGAATACGGGAAGGAAAGAAAGAATGTATAATGAACAGGAAAAAGAAGACGGAAAGAAAGAAAAAGCGAATAAATAATAGGAAAGAGATAAAAGAAAAGAAGGAAATAGCGACAGAAAAGTGGAATAAAGAATGGGGCAAAGCAAGAAGAGGGGACAAGGAAAAAAAGAAAGAGAAACGGGTGGAAGAAGAAAGAGAAAGTTTCGGATAGAGAATAACGGAGAGAACGAAGAAAAAACGGAGGAATAAACGCAGCAGTGATGCCGGGAAGAAAATAAGAAGAACCAAAGAAGGGAAGGAAGGAAAGAACTAAATCAGTAGGGAAGAAGAAAAAGAGGAAAACAAGAGGAAGGAAACAATGCAGAAGAGAAGCACGAAAAAGGCGGAAAAATATAGATGAGCCATTTGTGAAAGCAATAGAGATAGGAAGTAAAAGAAATGGAAAAATACTGAATGACGTGTCTTTCTTTGAGGGATGAATTTCTGCGAAACGGTCGACCATAACGAAGGTCTTGAAGTATTAGCCAATGAAAACACAGAAACAAACAAACTGAACTCAGGCAGAAACGGCGAATTCTGATTGGTCGTTAATTTCATCATGTCAAAAGCCGACAGCTTAAAAGTCCTGTAACTTGACGTCGGTTCGGTGATTGAAACTATTTGAAAAAAAAAAAGGATTTAGGATGATGATTTTCAAGTCAAGGCAAGCTTCTTCTAATTGGAAGACTGTCCTAACATATTTTCCCTATAGCTATCCCAGCCTCACTTCAAGGCAAGATTGGGGAATATTGATATTTGAACGAAAATCAAAATAGAAGAACGAACGAGTAAAGAAAACGAGTAAAGAATGCGAAATGAAGAACACAAAAATGCATAATAATATATAAATGTAAATATAATAAAATAAAAATGCTATACAAATGGGAAAATAAACAAAATAAAAATAATTGGATCCTAGTTCATAAAGATGAGATAAATGAAGAAATAAAAATAAATGTTGTCCTGTCATGATCTTTTAGCATTTAAAGGGAATATTATTAACGTTCGTAATCATATTAAATAGATACAAAAAAGATGTGAAAAGAGAAATTAAAAATCACGGATAAGGAATAGTGGAAAGAAAAAAAGAAGGAAAGAGAGAAGTACAGATTAAGAAGTAAAAAGAAAGGGAAAAGAGAGGGATAGAAACGAGGGGAGAATAAAATAAAGGAAGAGAAAAGAGAGTAATAAAGAAAATTTTCGCATATTCAATCTTTATGCGTTAAATCGAGTGTGTTTTATCTTTGATTTTCATTGAGTGCACTTTCTAGCATTCTCACGAGATACTCCAGAAAAAGAAGACAATTATTTCTTCTTTCGACAAAACCATGTTTAATCTGTGGATTTCCCCCCAAAAAATAGTTAATGAGATTTCCTACGTATTCAGACTTTAGGGATTCCATGTATAATTGTCCTAAACTGGCTACCAACCAAGTCTATAGAGCTGTTTATCCTACTATTTAACCTACATCCCAGCCATATCTTTTTAATATACATGTATATGCATATATATATATATATTTAATATATCTTATTAAGATTTTCCACCATCCTTACGTTTTTCCATTTTACTGTCCCAAGCGCTTTCGGGAAATTCTTTTGGGGCAATAAAAATTATGGGAAATTTTTATACTCCGTTGCGGAAAGGGATGCTGGAAAAACATAATAAAAAAAAAAAAAGAACTTTCACACACACAGACACACACACACATATATATATATATATATATATATATATATATATATATATATATATATATATATATATATATGTATTTATAGTTTTACGGTATGTTACAACATTTATGGCTTAAGTAAATGAACATAAATAATATTAAATCACTATAAGGAATCATTATACCTGATGCGGTTATTTCTTTCATACCACTTTATTTCAGATTGTTTTCGTTGTCTTATAATTGCTTTCAAATTTATATTATAACAGTTAGATAAGCGTTTGTTCATTCAAATTACGTATGACTCATTATATTAAACGAATGCTCATTTCGGTTGAGTCTGTCACTCAAAAGATGAAAATAAGTTTAATTATTTTTTTAAAGTCACGTTAAAATTCAATTTTCTCGTCATCCATTCGCGTGTACGTATTATCTCTCTCATCTATTCATATAGAAATTTAACAAACTTGACTCATTCTGATGTGGAACCAAATATGACTATGAGGGCGGTTGGATACCAAATGGTATTTATGTGTTTTCATCGCTCAAGAAAATACACATTCGAAATTAGAGATTCTAACTTTGCAGACTGCTGTATGAATTATAATCCCACAAATTCACCACACTAAGTGTTTCTAAAACGGTTTCCTTAGCACAGTGTCAGAGTTATTTTGTTAATCCAATAGTCTCCTATGGGACAAAAGGGTTACAAATTCCCCATGCTAAGAGATGCTGAACAGGCTCAGAGAGAGAGAGAGAGAGAGAGAGAGAGAGAGAGAGAGGTAGAGAGAGAGAGAAAGAGAGAGAGGTAGGGAGAGAGAGATACCGAACAGTCTCCGAAAGAGATATTGTACAAGCTCAGGAAGAGCTATGTCCTGTCGGCTGGGGCTTCAGAATACACTGACTGCACCACTTCAAAGGTTTAAGACCTCTACCCCACCTCCAAATAGGCATCCTGGGTATAACGATAAACTGGAAGCAAGGGCTCTGATCATGCGGTTTTAAGGAGCGTGGAACCACTTTGTAATTGCTGGTGCTCCTAGGCCCACCATGACCCGGAGTGGTAGCACCTGTTACGGTCCCAATTATGGGCAAATAGCTAACACCCAAACTGACGTCAATGCACTATGAAAGTGTAAAAATAGGTTTTAATACCAGCAATACATTTTTTAAGAAAGAAATTATTAACAGCAAAAACATTTTTGAAAAAGAAAAATATTACTAGCAATAAAAATCTTGACGGCATTAAATAACCCATTGAGGTTGATATGCCGTAAAATAAAACAAAACAAACAAACATCAGAAAGAGATACCGAACAGGCTCAGAAAGAGAGAGAGAGAGAGAGTGAGAGAGAGAGAATAGGCATTGAGAGAGATACTGAATAGGTCCAGAGAGAGACCAAACAGGCTCAGAGACAGATACCGAACAGGCTCAGAATGAAATACCGAACAGGGCCAGAGAGATACGGAAGAGCCTCATAGAGAGATTCTGAACAGGCTCAGAGAGAGATAAAAGTATATTTCTAAATATTCACAAAGAGGAAGATAGACTGAGATAGATTTATAAATATGACAGATATAGACGTGAATAAACTGATATTTATCAGAGCCAAAAATCGATTTAGTTTCAAACTATTCTTATATTTCAGATCAAACAACTGTTTCACCTTTGATATACAATTTCTTTTTTTTAAATCTATGCAGTTATATAACTTTTGTTAGCATTTTAGATTTTCAGTTTTATAGTTAGCAACATATTTTTTATAGTTTATGTGGTAATTTTTTTAGATACCGCGTGTGGGATTAGTTTTATAGTTTTATTAGTAACGTGTGAAGTGTTCGATGAAAGATCAATAATGTTTTTAGGCAGCTAGAATCGATCCACTTTGAGAGGCAAGACTTTCTGGTTTCGATTCTCCAAAGTTGATTTATGCACCCGATAATGAAACGGTATCGTCTTCATTCGACCATTACATCTGACACCATGTCGGTTTGATCGATACGAGTGTTGCTGAATTGCCTCCATGGCCTGTAGACAGTGGTGACGATCTGATAAAAAGATACTGAATGCTGATGTTCAAGTATTGCTGGCGGGTTTTTCACCCAATTAGAATATTGACGTGGGCCAATGTTCCCATATTTCCTGCAGTTTTCGAAATCATTCATTCAGGAAATCTACAATACTTAGGTATACACATACACAAAAATTATATATATTTTGTTCCGAATTTCTGGGATGAGGAATTAGCAAAATCATTAGGCCAAATTACAAATGAACCAAGCATAAAAATGTAAATATCTGGGAATTGTTCTAACAGAGGACGGAAAATGCGAAACTGAAATCTGAAGACGCATTGAGAGAGACATATGATGCATTCCAAAAGCTAAGCAGAGTATTAAGAAATTGAAAAACATTTTTATATACAAAGAAAAGAGTACTAAACTGCTATGTGATACCTGTCCTCCTATATAGCATTGAATGCTGAAAGATCTCATCACAGATGACTTTAAGCAGCAGAATTCCGGTTCTACAGAAGGATACTAAGGATAACATGAACTGAAGATGTAAGCAATGACAAAGTTTTATATAAAAAATAGTAAAAAATGGACACATATACTTACCATCAGAGAGAGACAGTTGAATTTCTAGGGCGCAAAAAGAGGAGAGTAGGTTTAGAAAATTAAATACTAACAGGACAACTTGAAGGCAAGCAGCGCATTACCTACCTAACGAGCTGGCGTAAAAATGGTTGGACGAACAAGCAATCGGAGAGATAGCAAAGAGACAAAATTTACTAAGAGCCACAAAGGACATGAAATTATGGAGATCCATAATGGCTCACGTCCTGAAGGGACACGACACATAGAAGAAGAAGAACGAACTTTTATAAGTGGTTTGTAGAAAAGGATTAGGAATGATAGTGAAATGACAAAATTTCCTAAGAGCGACAAAGGACAGGAAATTGTGGATAGCCATGATCGCTCTCGTCCTGAAAGGACACGACACATAGAAGAAGAACGAATGTGTGTAAACCATTAAACGAAAAGGGAATCTGTGAGATAGCAAAAAGAGAAAATTTGTTAATAACTACAAGGAGCAGGAAGTTGTGGTGAGCCACGATTGCCCACGCCCTAAAGAGACACAGCATATAGACAAATATATATAATACGATATATAATAATATATGATATCTGATTTTTTTTGTCAAACTTGAAATCTAAGAGACATTGGCTCATGAAAATAGTGTATTATACAAAAAAAACAAAACAGTGTCAAAGCTTTAATAACATTTTTAAATAATCTGTCTTGATTTGTGGATAAGAAAATATAGTCAGTGTATTATTATAATGCGTAGGATATTTTTACGCTCTGATTTCGCTGAGACGTTCCGGTTTGAGGAGCGTGTTTCGGTGATATAAAATGTCAGTGTGCGGGGGCGTGTGTGTGTATGTGTGTACATGTGTGTGTACGTATGTGTGCGTTTGTGTTTATGCACGGGCATGTGTGTCTGCGCACGGGCGAGTGTGTATGTGTGCACGCGTGTGTGTGTATGTATATGTGTGTGTGCGCGCGTTCTGTCCTGCTTGCTCCAACAAGCATTACACATTTAAATTTCCCAGAACTACAATATCATATGTACACGATTAATTGCCCTATCATGTCATTCATATGTCGATTGAGTCAATCTTTTACAAGTGCAGGGATGTGTGAAATTATTCAGTATACTTGTTTCAATCAATTTCTGGCACCTAAATTTATCACGATTGGAAATAGTCTGAGCTTGAT